ATATATATGTATGTATGTATGGCTATATATTTGAAATAGAAAATTTAAAATAAAGCTGGAGTCCTGTTTGTTTTCCCTCCTCAGTCTCATTTTTCTCCTTTCTTCTGGAGATAAGCTGTCTTACTTTTTCTCGTTGCTGCGACCAAATACCAGATCCTCAAAGGTAAAAGAGGAAAGATTTATTTCAGTTCACAGTTTGTAGAGGTTTCAGTACATAGTCAGCTGTCTCCAAGGCACCACAGCATGGCTCAAGGACATGGCAGAGGAAAAACAGTCTACAGCAGGGCAGACTGGGAGCAGCAAGAAGCAGCAAGCATGCCTGCCTTCCCTCTGTCCCTTTAGAGTATATCCAGGCTATAAGCATGCTGAATGGTGACACCTACACCCAAGTGGGCCTTCCCATTATCCACACCTAGACTATACTAAACCAATCAGTAGACTAATTTAGTACCATACACTCTTATTCCTACTATCGCACACCCATAACCCAGCCAACTCTAAAAATGCTTACCTATGAGTGCATGAAGCCATAACACAAACAGGATGAAACTCCCTGTACTCTCTCAGTCCATACTTAAATTTTTACTATATAAAGGTATGAAAAAATATAGTGAATATTTAATTTTTAAAACTTTTTGCTTTAAAAGACACATTGCCATTAATGTCCCATAAAATATTCCTCATTGCTTCAGAGACATATATCCCATTGTTTTTGCTACTTTCTGAAGCAGTTCTGAAAGTCCTCTTTTATGAGTGTCTTTAATTGTATTGTCATGGTTGCCTTCATGTGCTGGAAACATTCAAACCTTTTACCTTTCATGATCATTATGACTGGGGAAGAGCCAGAAGTTACATGGTACCACATCTGATTAATAAGGTGGATAAGGACAGCCTACCTTTCCACTGGATGGCACTTGACAGCCACATTCACCAGATTCTTGAGCACACCTCTTAAAGACACTAATAAAACAGGACTTACAGAACTGCTTCAGCAAGTGACAAGAATGATGGAATGAAGTGTGTTTAAAGCAATGGAGGGTACTTTGAGAAGGATTAATGGCAAAGTGCCTTTTACTGTAATAATTTTTAAAAATTTAAGCATTCAGTGTATAGTTTGATCCCCCTGTGTGTATATAGCAATTTGGCTTAGTATATTATATATCCATACTAGTATTCAATTAAGCTTAGTATTGCTTAGTGTGGCTTTAAAATTTTACAAATAAGTATTTTCTTTCAGTGTGTGCCATTGTGCAATTTGCCTTTTCGGCCCATGTTGTTTTTAGGATATACACATTTGTGCATATAGGTGTAGCTCACTTATTTAGCAGCAGTGTACAAACTATGAAAATGCCACAATTTATCTATTCTTCTGTTAATAGATATTTAGACTATTTATTTTTGCATATATTTGGTCTGCTTTCTGTATGTAGTCAGTTGACCAAAAGCAGCACATTGTGACTAATCATGTACACAGCATTTCCTTTCCCATCTTATAAGAGGACACTGAATTCATAGATGTGGCGAGTGTAGAAACAAGGTAGGGTAGAAACTGAATTCTATCCCATTCCCTAAGATGCTTTCTTTTTCTGGTTAACTCTTACAGTCTTTTTAAAATTGCAGGCATGATTTTTGAAAGTTACTATGCTTTAAAAATAATCTGCTTGTTTTATTTTTTAGGTGTTTGTTTAAACTGCCAGGAAAATAGCAAAGGGGATCACTGTGAAGAATGTAAAGAAGGATTTTATCAGAGTCCTCATCCTAGTAAAGGATGTCTTCGCTGTCCTTGTTCAGCAGTGACATCTACAGGAAATTGCACCATAGGTAAGGGCTTTCTCTAAAACTTCATTTCAGAGAAAGAAAAATCAATGGGTCTTTCAATAGTTATAAATTACATTGGTAAATCAAAATCTGAGTGCTATAGATGAAATGGAGTTGTAAAAACAGCAAAAGCTTTCCTTTCTAGGGACTTATGTGCTAATCCAAATACATACGTGAAATGAGACTTAAAATATCTAAAGACCAACCCATTAAGTCAATACAGGAACTTCAGAGCTGAGCAACTTTTACTCATCTATTTCAAGGTAACAGTCACCAGTTAGCCTTCCCAAGGTACTTACTAATGCTGGTCAATTGTGTCTACATAATAATCTTACAAAAACACTTAACTGCTATTTATTCCTTTCATACTAGTTACCTGTTGCTTCTAACCAATTACCTTAATATCTAGTGTTTTAAAGTACTTGGTGCCAGGAATTTAGCTCAGTGGCACTGTTTCTGCCCTGCAAGGTCCTGAGTTTAACCCCCAGTACTGGAACAAACAAACAAACAAAACTTATAATTCCACATATTTTCTGCAAGAAATTTGGGGAAAGTTTAGCTGGACAGTCCTGGTTGGATCCTTTTTTCCCTCCATTCTATTTTAAATATCATAATTATTGAGATGTAATTTATATTACATATAATTTATTTAAAATGTACAATTAAGTGGTTTAGTATGTGTTCAGTATTATGCAGCCATGACCACACTCAATTTTAGAACATTTTAATCACCTCCTCCCATAAAAAAAATCTTCAAAACAAAAACAAACAAAACCCTATAACCATTAGCAATCATTCCTATTTCCTCAAGCCTTAACTAGAGACTAATCTACTTTTTCCCCTGTATGGATTTGCTTATTCCAAGTATTTTATATAAATTGAATTATACAGTCAGGCACCCTGATAGTGACCCCTGTAATCCCAGCTACTTGGGAGGCTGAGGCAGGAGGACTGCTAGTTCAAGGCCACCCTGGGCAATTTAGTAGGATCCTGTTTCAAAATAAAACATTTTTAGGGCCGGGGATTTAGCTTAGTGGGTCTAGTGCCTGTCTCACAAACACAAGGACCCAAGTTCAATCCCTGGTACCCTCCCCGCAAAAAAAAAGTTTTTAAAAGGGTTGAAATATAGCACAGTAGTAGAGTGTCCCTGGGTGTGATCCCCAGTATAGCAAATTAAAAAATGAGTAAGTATATAAGTAAATAAGTGGAGTCATACAATATGGGGCATTTTATATCTGGCTCCTTTTACATAGTAAAATATTTTCAAAGGTCATCCAAGTTGTAACATATATCAATCCTTCATTGCTTCTGATTACCAGATAATAATCCATTGTATGGTTATACAGTACCACATTGTATCTATCCATTCTTTGATTGATAGAGAGTTGATAGATACTTTCTAGTTATTACATATAATGCTGCTATAAATATTTGTATTCATGTTTGTGTGTATACACATTTTCATTTTTTTGTACATACCTAGGAGTAGAATTGTTGAAGAAACTATTAGAGTGTTTTTCAAAATGAGTACCTTCTACATTCTCATTTTTACTAACCTGGTATGAGGGTTCTAAGTTCACCACAGCTTCACCAGTACTCATCTGTCTTTTTATAATTATAGCCATCCTAGTGTGTGTGAAGTGGTATTGCATTGTAGTTTTAATTTACATGTCTCTGATAACTAATTATGAGTTTATTAACCATTTGCTTATCTTCTTTAGGATCTGTTTAGTTCCTTTGTTCATTTTACGTTTAGATTATTTATCAATGAATTGAAAGGATTCTAGATATAAGAGATAGAAGTTCCTTATCAGATACATTATTTTGGGGGCTGGAGATACCAGTGGTGGAGTGTTTGCCTAGTATTCCTAAAGCCCTAGGTTTGGTCCCCAGCACTGTGGGGATAGGTATGATTTGTAAATTTGTTTCTACCCTGGTCCTTAATTTTTTGCTTTCTTAGTTATGTCCTTTTCAGTACAGAAGGTTCTAATTTCAATGAGGTTTAATGTATTTTTTCTTTTGTTTGTGTTAGCTTGGGGTTTCACATGAGGTTGGAATCAGGGTGTTGGCCCTAGATTCAATCCTCATTCTGGCAAAAAAAAAAAGAAAAGAAAAGAAAAGAAAAGAGAAAAAGGCATCCGGGGCTTAATTAAGAGTGCAAATTCTGCTTTTAAGAAGACTTATTCATATGGTTGCTATAGGCAAAAGGCTTCTTCAGTAGCTATTTAAATGTCCTTTCTATATGACAGCTACTTCCCTTTAGAGTAAGTGATCCAAGAGAATGAAAAATGGAAGCTGTAATGTATTTTGTAATCTCACCTCTTAAATCATAGAGATTTTCACAATATTCTAGTGGTTGCACATGTCTGTCCCACCCAGGGTATTCACAAGAATGTGAACACTAGGAGGCAGGTGGCTTTAGAGGTGGTTTTGAAGAGTGCCTGCTATACCTGGTAATGGGAACTGGCATATTTATTTTTTTCATAGGAAGATCTGATAGATTTTTTAAATTTTTCTATAAATAGTAATTAAGCACCTAGCTCATGCTTATCGTCATAGCAGACAAGCGATACACAGATATGAAAATAAAATATGATCCCTATCCTAAATGTTCTGAGAGATAGGAAATCACATAAAGAAACCATTAGAAGTAACATGAGTGTTTATAGGATATCATGGGGCACAGAGGGAAGAGTATTACATTGTACATGGGAATGAATGCCAGGAAATTTTTCATAAAAGGAGTATTACTTATGTAATATGCCTTCTTTGTTATCACCATTTACGTAGATATATATTGACCATTTATGATTAATTAGGACTATTATTTATAGTCAGGAATATGAAAAGGTAGTGTGTTAATCTCTAAATATGCATCCACAATATCAGAATTCTACAATCAGTTTCTTATTTTTCTAATCATATTCATATGTTGCTATTATCAAATAATTTTAAGATTTTAAAAGCTTTACAGAAATTATAAATAATATAGTAGTGGTCCTTGGCTCACCTGGAGTAGCGTTCCTTTTTTGTGTGTGGTTCTGGGAATTGAACTCAGGACCTTGTGCTTGTGAGGCAGGCATGGTGCCACTGAGCTAAATCCTCAGCTCCAGTAGCATTTCTTTTGAACACAGGACTTTACTTTTGAAAGTTGCTTTATAAATAACTGTTGAACTTAATATTGATAAATTTAAATTTTAGAAGCCTTCCCTATGGAGGGATGATGCTAACAAAAACAAGCTTGAGATCATTTGTTCTTGTATGCATTTTCCAAGGACTGTAAGCTCTATAAGGGCAGAAACCATGTCTAGATTTTTAATGATTTTTAGCCCCATTTATGGTGTATAAGTCACATTCCTGTCCCTGGGACAAAATACCTGACACTCACAACTTCAGGAAGGAGAGGTTTATTTTGACTCACAGTTTTAGAGGGTTCTGTCTGTGGTTGACTGGCTCCAAGGCAGAAACAGCACAGCAGAAAGGCAAGGTGGAGGGGAGCTGCTTACCATATGATGGACAGGAAGCAGAGAGAGAAGGGAGGCGTCAGGGACAAGAACACAGCCTTCCAGATCAAGCCTCCAATGACAACTCTCTTCCAACCAGGCTTCACCTCTGAATAATGAGATCTTGGGGGTACATTTTAGATCTCTACCCTAACATCCAGTAGTGGGGTTAATGCTAATAATATATATTGAGTACAAAGGGAGGTTACTGTAACTCAGGATAGAAAGTGGTAATATGTACAAAACTAGAATTGTGAGAGCTTAGGAGAAGGAGGTTAATTTCTTACTGGGAGGTTTTGAAAAGTCACTGTAGAGCAGGTAACATTTGTACTGGTCCTTGAAGAGTGGAGATTGAGATATCTAGAAATATACCCACATAGAGTAAGTGAGAGATCACAGCCAGACTAAAATAGGGACTTGACCAATCTAGTTTTGACTTAAAAGCATGTATTATGTTCAAATGCAGTCTAGGGGTAAGAAGTACTCAGATGATTAGTTTTTTCTTGTTGTTTTTTTGGTTTTGGTACTGGGGATCGAACTCAGGTCCTTGCACTTGCGAGGCAGGCAGTGGAACCACTGAGCTAAATCCCTGGCAGATTAGCTTGATGCTTTCAAAATTTAACTATTTTTAATGAAGAAACTAATATACAAATACATGCAATGCAGTTCTCTGGGTTTATGGGTAGCAGATGCTGCAAGAGAGAATAGCACCTGAGTGGGAGATTATCAGCAATGGCTTTCGAGAGAAAGTGATAGTTTTGTGATGAGAGTCAGCATTTAGTATGTGAACAGAAAGAAAAACATTTCAGATAAAGAGGTCAATAAGGACACAAGTACAGGAATGTTAAAGGAGCTGATTTGATCAAAGAACTACCTTAGAATGGTAGAAAAAAGTATATGGGTGAACCAGGCATGGTGGCACATGCCCTATATCCCTAATACTCAGAAGGCCGAGGCAGGAGGATTGCCACAAGTTCAGGGCTAGCCGAGGCTACCTAGTGAGTTGAAGGCCACTCTGAACTACACAGTGAGATCCTGTCTCAAAAAACAAAACAAACAAAGAAACAAACAAATAAAAGCATAAGGGAGAAGGAATGAAACACGAGACAGGGCTTTTGAATTTTATATCATGAGGTATAGTTAGTCAGACTTGACAGACATGAAAGGTTTTCACAAACCTTGATTTTGGTCCTTCAGTCTATACTGTCAGGATTTTTTTCATATTGGTTGTTGTAATTATGTTGTTGGAGTGAAAAAATGCTGTAAAATGTTTCATTGTGGGCCATGAGTTTCTTGAGAACCAGGAGTACATATGTATTTCATAGAGTATTTTTCTACACATCATTGATTGCACAAGTTATAAATGCATTCAATTTTCACATTTTGTGGCTAAAAGCAATTTAAGTATTTCTGATTTAAGCTCCTTATTGAAATATGGAAAATTATAGGGGCAGAGTTTAGCAAATTGACATCATACTACCAAGTGGGATTGTAAATGGTAAATTAAAATTCCTTATGAGTTGTGTATCTGTGAACATACCAAAAAACTGAGTTGTAGACTTTAAGTACTTTAACTATTTGTAGTATGATATATATATCAAAACTGGGTTTTTTTTTTTGTTTTGTTTTGTTTTGTTTGGTCCCGGGCATTGCACTCAAGACCTTGCACTTGTGAGTCAGGCAGCAGAACCACTGAGCTATTCCAGTCCTCAAAACTGGTTCTGCCACCTGCCTTGCAAGTGCAAGGACCCAAGTTCAGTCCCCAGTACCAAACAAACAAACAAACTGTTTCTTTAAAAAATAGTAAAATAAACAATAATTCATTTTTCTTAAAGAGCATCAGAGATATAATGAATTGCCACAAATTTCATGACCACTATAAATTAGTCTTTCTGTAATAAATTACTTTGTGTTTAGATAACAACATGATTCTGTTAGTATAATTAGTAAATTCTAAGAAAGGAATAAATCAATTTAGCAGATAAATAATGATTTATTGATTATTTAAAATTCATATACAAATTTATTTGAGAATCTTGATTTAAAATTGTATTACAACTTTAAAAAGAAGCACATAGGTATGAGTTGGTATGTTCCCTCTACCTACATTGAAATCACTCCGTTAGACATAAACAAGTAATGTGTGTCAGGTATTACATCAAGCATTAGAGATAAAGATGAAAAATAAATAGCTCATAGTTTAATGGGAGAGACAGACAAGTAATCCGATAATTACAATTCAGGATGATGCATGTTATAGGTTAGCATAAACTATCCCTAACCCAAACTGAGGGAATCAAGCACAACCTTTTAAGCGGCTGAGAAAAGGTTACAGAAATGAATTACTACAGTTTGAATGTGTGAGGTAGAGTAGGAGAGGAAGGCAAGAGAACATTCTGTGCAGAGGAAGAATGTGTGAAAGCTAAGTCAGAAAGGGAAGAACAGGCAGTCTTTGAGAGTACTCATAAGCCTTTTAATACGCTTGAACCAAAGACTGTGCTGGGATGTGAAGTGAAGTGAGAAGAGTTGGGAGAAAGGGCAAAATTATGAAAGATACTGAAAATTCTATTAACTTTTCATTTAATCGGAAGAGCTTTCTCTAGAGAAGTAATAGGCTCAGATTTACTCTGAAGATCATGGTGAATGTAGGGGTTCACTGTGACAAAGAGACCCAGTAAGAGGGAGCTATAGAAATGTAGGTGAGAAATGATGAAAGCCTAAACTAAGACCACTGCAGTGGCCATGGAGAGAGACATCAGAGGTTTGGAAAGATTTTAATAATGTATGATTAATATGATTGATATGAATTGGTAACTATATAGAGGAGGGGAAGAAGAAGGAAGATTGAGAGATGGTGCTTAGTTGTTTGGCTCAGGCAAGTGGAAGAGGAGGATGAGACTTAGGAAGGGAGGATGTTGAGGATAATGTCAGTCACACTAAATTTGAGATACCTGTAAACTCTAGTGCACAGGCAGTTAATTTGTAGTTTGGAATTAAAGACAGAGAAATGGACTAGACATGCACATTCTGGAACTGTCAACCATGTGAGTGGATGAGCTCACTGATGGAGAATGAGTAGTGGGAAGTGAAGGAGGCCAAGGATAGAAGTCTGGGACTCTCAACTTTTACATAGGGAAGGCACAGAGAAAGTTTTTGTTGAGACATATTTTGTACAGCTTCTCATTCCCAAAAGGAAGAAATAAAGAAACTACGAGAACACCTATCTGTCACAATTATTTGGCCTCTGATATAGCATGTTTTTATTTTACTTTCTACCTGAGTAGGTTTTCTGTATGACTCTATCATTCCCACAGTAAGCTGGGAAATTGTACTTAAAGGATATATAGTTTGATTCTGTATGTCTCTTACCATACAGGAGGTGGTAAGAGAAGAGATGGTAGGGAGGGTTTATCAATCTGTTTGGAAACTAATAATTGTTTTTACATTTTATTATAGCTCAAGAATTTACAGAATTATTTTGATGTTCTCTCTCTTTTAGAATTGGATGAATTGGAGCCTAGATGTGTCCAGTGTAAAGATGGTTATACAGGCCAGAACTGCAATGCATGTGAAAATGGCTATTACAATTCTGACAGCGTCTGTATACCATGCCAATGTCATAGCCATGTGGACCCAATTAAAACTCCAAAGATTTGTAAGCCTGAGAGTGGTGAGTGTATCAACTGCCTCCATAACACCACTGGGTTTTGGTGTGAGAACTGCCTAGAAGGTTATGTTCGAGACATCGAGAAAAATTGCATCAAGAAAGGTAAAACTTCACCTATGGTTGTAAATTTAATATCTAAGCCTAGCACTGAGAAATTTCAGGACGGATACCTTTAGCTTTGTAAAAACTTTCTAATTCCAGCAGAAGAGTTTCTGGAAATAGATTTTTGATAGATATTTGCCTAAAGAGGTTTCCTTTCCTTTCTGCTTGTCTCCTGATGCTCCAAAGTCAACTCCAGAAATTTGAGGATCAAGACAAAGTCATTACAACAGTGAGACTAAGTGTTCTCAAATTTTTCTTTCATCTATTTTTATTTTTATGTTAATGACTAAAAAGTCTTGTCATTTCTTTTATCTTCTGCTTCCTTTATTCTCATCACTTCCAGTGATCATCAAAGTTCTTTTCAAGTAGGGTCCTATACTCTGGTTAGAAGTTCCAGCTGAAAAAGTGGAGTTAATTCCAACATCTTTCCTGACTTTGAGACTAAGTTGCTCCATGTGTGATGGCAAAAATAATGTTAATATTCTTTTTGATTTTTAAAAGGAGAAGTTACTCAAAGTATTTCTTTTAGGGAAGTTCAGTAGGGATTTATACGAAATTAATGATTATAAATTCAGAATAAGTTATTTATTATATTCAGAAATTATTAGGTTACAGAGAGATTGGACCATTCACTTCTACAAACTACTTTTTGATGTGTTAACAGATGCTGAATATTGGGCTGATATACACTTGTTCTGTGGCAGGTGCCATCTTTCTGCTTTTTTCTTGATATCCCTCTGCTGTTGTGATTGAGGCTAAAAGATCCAGATTGAACCTATCACTAGTACAACCCTGCCACTCAATTGTTTTTCCATTCGGGATGCATACCTTATTCATACCAAGGAACACTTTGTCCTGTGACAGGACCGTGATGATTTTTGTTAGTTATTAGGTAATGTAAACTTTGCCTCTCTTTAGAATAAATTGATCTGGCTGACTGTGATGATGAATAATAATAATTTCATTGAGTGCCACATGCCAAGCACTGTAAGAATCAACTGTGATAATGCTGTACAGTGTGTTAGCTCATTGAATTCATCATGAGAACTCTGCAAAGTAGACATTATTATTCTCATTTAACAGATGAAGAATCTGAGTTTTAAAAAGATTGTTTTATCTATAGCAACACAGTTGGGAGTCCAAAGCCTTTGGTCTTCCACTGAGCTGTGCCATCATTAGTAATACAAAGTATAGTACATTAACTGTAAAATAGCTATAATCTGTACAAAGGAAGAATTACTACATATAGAATTAAAGTAAAGCTGTTTTTTTCTCTTGTATGACATCAATTTTGAGTCTTTAAATTGTATTTTTCAGATGTAGCTAAAAATACACTTTTCCCTATATCTCTTTTGAGGAGAAATTTTCCTTTATAAAATGACATCAGGGCTGGGGTTTAGCTCAGTGGTTCTGCTGCCTGCTTTGTAAGAGCAAGGTCCTGAGTTCAATCCCTGGTACCACACCAAAAAAAAAGACATCAGACATCTTGGACTTGTTTTAGTTCAAATGATTGCCATCTATCCCTGTCACTCTTAACCATGTGATTTAGAACTTAATAGTGACATATTTGCTGCTTTTGAAGGAATTTTATGACTTCATCTATGAGAGGAGGAGGATGGAAAACTCCAACACTGAAATTTTTTCAGAGATTTTAGTATAGATATTATGCATATGGTGAACATCTGTGGATGTAATAATCTGATTTTCCAAACCCTGATTCTTACCACTATGTGTCTTTAAAATTATTTTTAACTTGCATTACTTTAATGCAGAGTCCCATGTCAACACCCATATCAACTTCCACTCTCATGCGTATTTCTTTCGTTGTTTCTCAAAACTAGATAATTTTGTCTTTTACATTTCATTCTCTGTTTTTATTTTCAGAAGTTATTGTTCCAACACCTGAAGGTTCTACCATTTTGGTTTCCAATGCCTCTTTGACCACATCAGTGCCCACCCCTGTTATAAATAGTACATTTACCCCCACAACCCTGCAGACTATCTTTTCAGTAAGCTCTTCTGAAAACAGCACATCAGCTTTAGCTGATGTGTCATGGACTCAATTTAATATCATCATTTTGACGGTCATTATCATTGTGGTCGTACTGTTAATGGGATTTGTGGGGGCTGTATACATGTACCGTGAGTACCAAAACCGGAAACTCAATGCCCCTTTTTGGACCATCGAGCTGAAAGAAGACAATATCAGTTTCAGCAGCTACCATGACAGCATTCCCAATGCTGATGTGTCAGGATTGTTGGAAGATGATGGCAATGAAGTGGCTCCCAATGGGCAACTGACCCTGACGACACCTATACATAACTACAAAGCCTAAGGAGCGAGAACTGTCCTCCTGGATTAAGACACAGTGCTTTCTAAGACAGCTTTGGCCCCTGGGCCAGACAAAGCCTGGGTAGAGTTCGCTGAGAAAGCAAAGGCAAAAATAGTGCATCTGACATCTTCAGGTACAAATTTGTAATGTGCATAGCCTATCTGTTGCTCTTAGTTTTCCCATGAAGATCAGAAGCATTCACTGTTGTTAAGGACTTGAAGTAAAGTATATTTTTGTACCAAACCACATGGGACTATGGAAAGGCTGAACCCCATAATGCTGCCCAAATCAACTTTGACCTCCAAATAGACTGTTGGAGAGTGTTCACCTCACCAGCGGTACCAGGATGATGGATGTGGAGGGGAAAGGACTGCTGGAAGACTTCATCTCCATTCCTGAAACGCATTCTTTTTTAAAGGAAGGTCAGGGATTATATTCATTTTATTGTACTAAAATGTACAAATCATTAAGGAAAAGCTGGCATCTAGGCTATATCATAAACAATCTTGATTGTTTCAAGAATAAGGGCAGAAAAGTCCTAAGAAGAACTTTAGATGGGATTGATTTTTTTCCTCCTAGGATTCTTGCTCAATGATGGGATTAAAGAACAGGATAAACTCAGAGAGCAGAAGGCAGCACTGGGGAGCAGGAAGCTGAAGGTCCTCCTCAGGGCTCAGTGTAAATGATAAATTGTCTAAAAATAAGGAGCATTCCTGCCTCTAAAGAAATAAGGTGTACATAGTTAATGTAGCATATCTGGTCAACATTGTATCTATTTGTAAAAAACGTCATATTTTATCATCTAGAATTTATTTGTACAGCAGTTAATGGTGTTGTATAAAGGAAATATGGAGATTGGTTAAAATACTGTAAAATAGATGGCAATATTGCTAGAGCTGGGACTCTGGTGAGCATCCGTCATTTTTAGTCCCTCTTTGGACACTGTTAAAATTTATAAGCAGTTAAATATTTCTGATCATTTCTTTTCTCACCCTAAAAGTAGAGTTATGTGCTCTTTGGTTTACTGTAGATTCCAGCAATAGATTTTGAAGTCAGTAATTGTTAAGCTGGGACACAGGCTGCATTCTTCAAAATACTCTCCTAATTAGGTACTGGCTATTCTGTATATTTTACATAAATTAATATAAAACATATCCTCATTGAAATATTTTTCTTGAATGTAAGAGATAGTCTTCCAAAAGATAGAAATCTTTGAGCTCTAAAAGAAAAGCCATCATATCCCTTGGGATCTCTTGTTTTCATGCCTGTGAAATGTTTATATCTTTCTCACTTCTGCTCCCAAATAGAAAACCTCTTATATTTGAACATAGCCCATCACTCATTTGCCATGAGGTCTATTCCATCTCTCTGCAGTGCTATAGCTCTTCCATTGTCTTCTTTCTGGCTAGAGGGTGGCTCTGTAGTTGAGGATATATAGTTAGTCCTTGCTTTTACATTCAATTTTCCACCTAAAAGTCAAGTATTCTTGCTCTCATCTATTATATTGACAGAATTGTGGAATAAGCAAGCCAAGAAAGGTGGCCAGAAGTCAAATATAGATTATTTATTAGAAGGAACAGAAAACTGTGAAGTGGTTAGAGAAAAGTAAAAACTTCTTACTGGATTAGACCTAGAAATCAAATTGACCCCTTGGCGTAACCTCCCCAAAGAAGAATCTAGAATTTGTCACCCTCTATAGGAGACCCCTAAGAAGTTCTCAGGGCTCACATGCTGTTCTAGATTGTGTATAGACAGATAATTTGTTTCTGGTACCCTGAGGGTGTTTGGCCATTGCTCACAAGAGTAGACATTTTATTATATTAAAATGATTAGCACTTCTTCTGTCCTTTGTGGTTTGCAAATCGCTTTTCAGTACGTACGTATATTCTTTGTTCCTCATGATAGCCCCCCAAGGAAGTAATGTTCTACCCATTTTATAGATGAGAAGACAGAGGCACAGCGGTGCTAAATATATTCTTCATTGCTGCACGATGTATGTCATAGGCTCAGAATCCAGACTCCCAACACTGCAGCACTTATTATTTTTATTATTATTATTATTTTGTACCGGGGATTGAACTCAGGACCTTGCATTTGTGAGGCAGGCAACGGCACCACTGATTATTTTAACTATAAGCACTTATTATTTTAACTATATACCTAGTGTAAAACTTGCCTAGCTATGAGCACAAATAGGCTAGGAGGAAGAGTCCCCTCTGTGGAACTTTCTGTACTTTTTGTAACTCCAAGGTACAATTCAGGGCAAAACAACTGTGAAGAACTTTGTGGAAAGAACACAGGAAGATTAGTATCTGGAGCCAGTATTCATGATAAGAAAACAAAGCTGCCAGTTTGTGTTTCTTTAAAGTGAGCCATTCCCCCAAGCAAAGAGGAAAACTTTCTTCCCTTAGCATTTGTTACATAGGTATGTATGTTCTGTGCACTGCAGCATTTCAAGGAAATGTGTAAAGTGGCATACCTGCCTTTTCCCTGACATCCTACCCCCTGACAAAAAAATCAGGATTGAATTGAGGATGGTGAGGAATATACATTTGTTAAACAGAAGTTAACCCAATCAAGAAAAGAGTGTTGGAGTCTAAGAACCAAAGTCAAATAGCATTCTGGCCACGTAGAGATTCCTTGAAATAGACCTTTAAAGAAATTGCAAAAATTGAAACACAAACCATATTTACTTTTACATACTATTTAACAGCTCCTAGGCCATGGTCTTATTTTTTATAGTGGAAGAAAAATTAAGGCCTTTAAACTTGTTTTGAATAATATTCTTTAATGGCCCAGGTTTTGCTTGTGAAAATTATCTTGCTCTGAAATAGAAACCAATCATGAGTTCATGTACCATTGAAATCAGACTAGAAGACTAGTATGAAAGACATTGTACAATATTAATTCCTCTAAGACCCCCATGAACTATGGTGTCCAGCAACAGTCCTTTAGAAATCCTACTATTAGAAGAATTTCTGTCTAAGGATTAGGAATGTATTGATTTTTAAAAATAAGGCAATGTGAACCTTACTGAGAAATAAAATACAGTACTGCTGTTAAGTGATACTTTTATCTTCATTAATTTAATAGCCCTTAGCCACTTCTGATAGATGCTTTAGAAAGTGTTCAGTGTGTCTTTGTGCCCCTTACTTCTTCCTCCGTTTCTCTACTCTACCTCTAGGGCTTTGTTATTAATGGAATTTCTCCTACTATAGAGAAAAAATGGTAATAAAACTCCTCTGGACCTAGTCCATAATTTTCTCTAAGGATACCTGGATTTAAAGAGAGGAGAACAGAGAAGACATGGGATGGGAAAAGAAAGATCTTTTTGACAGAATTTGTATAAGTCTCAGATTTGCCCAGGGTAATTGACCATGAAAACAATACTCACTGACCTACTAGTTGGTTTTTGTCAGCTGAGTGCCTTCAACACATGAGCTTTTCTTGTGTTGTTGTGGAAGCAGAGAGCTTAAGCAGTGGTACTTCCCTTGATACATTTAATTGAAACTGGGTTATTAGATTGCTTCCCTTTGGTCCCATTCTTTTTGTAGGATATCTGGTGAACATAACACCATGTATATTGAATATTCCCTGGTTCTTATATTTTAGGGTATGTGCGTAGGAGTTGAATTTCTGCATCTCAATCAAACTTCTCTGACAAAATGTTCCAAGAAGGAAAAAGTAACACAGTATAACCTGTTAGAGTGAGGAAATTCTTTCTGGTCTCAGTCACAAAGAACCTTTGATCTGTTATGATCTTCTTGATAGTAGGGAATTTGCGAGTTAAAATGGGTTTGGGGTGTGTGTGTGTGGTAATGGAAGGTTAATTCATTTTTCTCTTTATCCCTGAGCCAGTGATTATGCCAAGGGGAAAGCAGGATGAACACACTAATTCATCCAGAGGGGTCATATAATATCAAATGGATTAAAGGTTATGAATCATTAACACTCAGTGATTGAATGATGCTTTTTCCAAGGCAATCAAGAGTCTGATTACTTAGGCACATGCAATAACTGCATAAGCAGCTGTAGAATGTGAGCCCAGGGCTTCAGATTTAAGTTAGTCCAAAGACTAACTGATTTTTCAGTGAAGCGTTACTGGTAGGCACAAGCACTCTGTTATAAGTTAAATTGAAGCCCAAGCAATTAGAGAATGTTTCTGAAACATTAAACCTGTATTTATGTCACTAAAATTCTAACACAATTTTAAAAATAAGTCTCATACATATACTGTACTAGACTTCATGATACATTTCTAAATTTGTGTATGATTTGAATATATGAAAGAATTTATACAAGAGTGTTATTTAAAATTATTAATAAATGTATATAATTTGTACCTATTGTAGATTTGTTGTTTTACTTTCTTATGTGGATAGAATTGTTAGAAGCCTTTATGTATGTATGTATAGATACATATACTAAAGGGTCATTTATTATCAACTCATTTCATGAAAATCTCTGAACTCTTCATGTACTAAGTTCGTTTAAAGAATGTTTCCTGCTTGGAGGGAAAATATCACTTGAAGAATATTTCCTCTCTTCAAACAAACAAAACTCCCAGTAGAAGACATATTAACCTGTATGCTTGATGCTTTTGCCTGTCTTCTATGATGTTTATTGGGATTTCCATAAAGATTTTATAGAGAAAAATTATTTCCTTTGGATTTCTTTTTCACACATGTGAAAATTTCTTTCTTTAGTATAAATCTTAAAGTAAATTATGTTCTAAGCATTTATTAGTAACCCATAGAAAGAGTACAAGTTTTTTATTTTTTAAAGGTATGTTGACTATCCTTTATTTTGATAAAGCTATGCAATACTTAATGGAATATCATCTACAAACCCAAAGGGTGTTTCGGAAAAGAAGAAAAAAATAAGCTCAGCATTTGTTTGTGCTAACAGTTTTATAAACTTGAATTGATGTATTCAACTTGTTGACTGGTATTTAAATTTTAAAATTTGGGGTTTTTTTCTTGTTACACAAGAAACTAGGTTTTATAACTTTATAATTATACCTTATATATTTATACATGTGGCTCCATGATGTATATTAATTGAATATTTTTCTAAGGGAATAGAATTAATTGTGTTAAAAGTCAAACAAATTAGAATTTCAAGAGAGAGTAAATGCATATACAAATTCACTACACCAAGATGAAAAAGTTGTTACCATCATCATTTTATAATATTACTTTCATACTTTTGCTGCAAATATCAAGACATTTACTATACTGCATTATCAAAATTGGTTACATTAATTTTCCATATGAGCATATGTCACATTACACATGCTCTATTATAATTAAATCAGTGACATCAAAGTAATCATCATGCCGTTATATTTTTTAAATGAGTTAAATTAAAACAACAAAACATTTTTCAAGAGAATACCTCTGCTTACTAAATGAAAGCCATGAACCATGTTCAACCGAAAATGTGTTATTTGATTGTATAGGTTTTAAATCTTATATCCTAAATTGAACACCACATTTCAGAGTTACAGGAAAAACAGACAAAATGTTTCTTTGTATATATTAAGAGTAGGTTTGGGTAATAAAGGAAGTGCTTGGGAGGAAGTAAATTTATGTATAATTTCCTAGACATACCAGGCTATAGTAAATCTTTTCCCTTTTTCTGATATTATTCCCTCTTCTATAACATTGTTGAGAATGTTTATAAATCTTTAATTTGTATCTTCATTTTTCCTAATGAATACTACTCTTTCTGCAGATATTTTTAATTCCTGTCTTCCCCAAGATACTGCATTCCTGAAGTCAGAAGCATGTATTGTTTTTTCTCTGGCATCTAGCATATCAATGGTATGTTGTAGATGATCACTAATAGTAGTTTAAAAGGAAAGGCACTCAGTACAAGAGTTGGTATGTGCACTTGTTTGGTGAAGTATTATAAGAAATTTATATGCCATTACATTTCTTTTATTTGATTTAGAAATCAAGAAATAATTCTCCATGCATAAGCAGTGGTGGGTCTGCTACGGTTTGTCCCACAGAAATGTGTGCTGGAGGCTTGTTTCCTAATGTGACAATGCTGAGGTGGTGGAACCTTTAAGAAATAGAGTGTAGCCAGAGGAAATTATATCTTAAGACGGATTGATGCTTTTCTCAGGAATGTGTTCCTGCTCTCACAGGAAGTACCAAAAGAATGGGTTGTTATAAGTGAGGCTGGCCCTCTCCGGAATTCCTTTTCTACCTGTGCTGCTTGTCATTTTCAAACACACTCCCACCATTGTTATACCATTCACCTTGAGACCCTCACCAGAGCCCAGCAGAGGGGGGCACCATGTTCTTGAATCTCCAGAATTGTAATCTAAATAAAATACCAGTCTCAGATTTTTTGTTACAGCAACACAAATTTTACCAAATTAAAGATAGTATTTGTTATTCAAGAGAGGTATCAACATATGGGTTTCAGAGAGTCTGAGAAAGCTTTGAGATTGTATGTTCTTTTGTTTGTGAATGAAATTATGTCCTTTTTTATTTTTCCTGGAGAGAGGATCTATACCCTTAATCATAGTCTAAAAAGGATTAACAATTTCTTGGATGGGAATTACTTCACAGTTTTTCAGCAATAAAAACCTTCTCATTGAGTGTGAATTGGTATACTTGTTAAATTGGTTGTGTTCAAAAAAATTTACTCTGGGAATCCTTCATAAGAAAATGACCTAAAAAGCAAAGACTTATTCACAAAAAATATTTTATTGTCTAGAGTTGTGTACAAAGTTCCAAAAAGTAGGCCCAAATTCTAGATGTTTGACAATCAGGATGTAGTTTAATGCATATGCTTTTTGAGATAATACACAGACATCAAGAATTATTAGGAAGAATTATTAAAAACAGAAAGAAAAATGGGACATTTGAAGATGTATATGGAATTGTACTCCTGGCATATAGTTTAGAGAAACTTTTATGTATTTGCACCAGAAGCTATATTTCAAATTCTTCATTGCACCATTGTTTGTTACAGTACAATAATTGGAAAGAGCCTAAATGTCTTGTCAGTAGAAGGATGGATAGATTGTGGTGTATTCATATACTTTGACCAGAATTTTATGCAGTAATGGAAAATGCATAAATCATAGTTATATTCATCAATATGGATGAATCTCAGAAACAGTGCTGAGCAAAAAAAGCAAGTCAGGGAGAATATATACAGTATAATTTACATGAAAAACTGAGAAATAGAATATGTTTAGAAATGCATGTAAGAGTCCTGTAAATAAAAACAAGGGAATGATGAATGTAAAAATATAAGTCAGGCACTTAGGCACAGTGGCACACATTTGTAATCTCAGCTACTAAGCCCTGAAGCAGAGAATCACAAATTTAAGGTCATCCAAGGCAAACTAGTAAGATCTGCTCATAATAAAAATGAGCAAGTGGTCTGGGAATTTGGCTCAGTGGTTGTGCTGCCTGCCTCATGAGTGCAAGGGCCCAAGTTCAATCCCTGGTACCAAAATAAACAAACAAACAAACAAAAATGAGCAAGCTTAGTGGTAGTGTGCTTGGTTAGCATGTGTCAAGGGCCTGGGTTCAGTTCTTAGTACTACATACACACGCACACACACACATGCACCTCACATAACTTTGTAAGAGGGTAGAAGACTAAGATGGCTTCATATGTGTTGGTAATATTCATTGCTTAGGCTGTTTGGGCACGTGGATTTTCACTGTATATTCATTCCTTGGTATTCATGGGGAACCAATTCCAGGACTTCCTAAAGATACTAAAGTCTGTAGACACCTAAGTCCCTAGTATAAAATGGTGTAGTATTTGCATATAACCTATGCATATCTTCCTGGATATTTTGAATCATCTCTAAATTACTCATAATTTCTAATAAAGAAAAGGTAAATAGTTGTTACACTGTATTGTTTGGAGAATGACAAAACAGTACATGTTTAATGCAATATTTTTTAAACATTTTGGATCTATGATTGATTGAAATGTGGGTGTGAAACTTGTGGACACAGGGGACTTACTGTATTCCTTTTAAACAATATGTGAACACATAGATATATATATATGTAACATTTCGTGGTGAAAATTCTTAATAGGTTGTGAACTGGTGGATATGGTATGATTTCAACTATTGTGAGAAATACATATAACAAAAATGTTCAGAAGGAAATACCATAGCTCAAAATATCTGTGCTAAAGAACAAACAATCCACTATATTTTATTTCATAATGGTAAAAAATAAACTCATCAAAAGTATATATAATTTTAAATGTGTATGCGCCTAACAACAGAGCTTCAAAATAAATGCAACAAAAACTGATAATAGTGAAAAGAAAAATATTGGTTAAAAAATCATAATTATAGATGGAGAGTACAACACCTCTCTCAATGTGTAGAACAAATAGACCAAAACCCAGTAAGGGTATAGAAAATTTGAACAACACTATCAACCAACTTGATGCAATTCATGTAGAACACCCCAGCCCACAATAGCAGGCTATATATAAGATGTGATCACAAAATACAGTGAATGCTTAGATTGTGTTAAAAATATATTACAGCGAGAGAAATATTGCCCTTAACATCATCATTGTCACCACTCTCCGAAGCAGTTCTGAAAGTCCTTTTTTGTGAGTATCTTTAGTTGCACTGTGGTAGCTGACTTGATGTCTTGTCCATTCAAAGTGTTTATCTTTCATGGTCATTTTTACTTTGGGGAAGAGCCAGGAGTTCCAAGTGCCAGATCTGGTGGATAAAGTGAATGAGGACAAACAGTAATGTTTTACAAGCCTGCCTTTCTGTTGGATGGCACTCAGCAGCAGCAGCAGCAACAAAACATTTGCCTTAATTTTTTATCACACCTCATAAAAATCATAGTTTTGATCAACCCACCTTGTACGTTCCCTTCAAAGTACATGGAACATTTACCAA